GAAATGACTCTCAGCAGGATGCACTGTGGCTGTAAGTCTTCTGCTTAACAGCAAAGCAACACATTCTGGCGACATCTTAAATATATTCATAGGACATCGGTGACTGGGCTTGGAGGGGAACCAAATGGGGTAAAGGGAAGAGTGAACATGGAGAGGGGAATGAGGGAAGAAAGGGATGGGCAGGTTTAAAAATGTTAACTGTTCATGAAAGATAAAAGTCATCTTCTGATATAGCAGCACTTTAGCAGTCAGCCGCGCTGAGTAGACCCTGTCTGAGATCAACCGCATGCCAACTTTGTTCCAGAAACAAGTCTGAGAGCCTCTCTCTTCAGCAAGTATTGGTTACGTGGATAGTTCTTTTGTCCTGGCATTTAAATACTGCAGCTTAAATGAGTCCTGGGAACAAAAAACAGAACAAACCAAACAAACCCCATTCATACTAAGCCTTTTAATGATTTAAAATAACATCTGATTGATCAGAGTGTTTGATCAAGATCTGACAGGTCCAGAGCATCACTGTACAGTTACCAAACAGGATACAAGATGTGCCCTGTGACAGAGCACTTTCATGGGAAAATGTCACTGTGGACACCCCTTTGCAGAAGCCTGTCAGCTCTTCTGCCATTCTTCTCTCTTATGTTTACTGCTATCAACAGTAATTGTGCATGTACCCACCCATGCAGGAAAGCATGTTATCCCACTTCACTCATATGCATAAAATTCACTTTACAACTGACCCAAACACATGAAACATTTTGTCCTGCCCACACTGTGCTGGCCAAGACAAAAGGTAATGAGCAAACCAACCAGGCTCTGATATGAATAATTTAACATCCATGCTATGAGAGAGAGAACAAGGGCTAGGCCCTATCAGTATATTATTTTGCACATTGATTCATCTCAATTTAATTTGCCTGGGTTTGTGCTTGTGCCTCAGTGTCTCCTCCCCCGGCCAAGCTGTAATCTTGAATCAGCTTGCTGCAGAGTGAGGAGAATGGTCATCACTTCAGAGGGAGGTTCTTGGCAAAACTCTCCTGCCTGGTGACAACTGCCCAGGGTCAGGCCATCTGCATCCTCTTGTTAGGCAGCAGCTGCTCTACTCGCTCTGCAGAAACTCTTCTTCCTTCTGGACAACAGCATAACTGATTTAATTATTGATGATGATGGACAGAGGAGGAGGAGTTCTTCAGGGGGAGTCATAAGCACCACATGTCACAAATCCTAAAATAAAGTCCCTATTCTAAGGTACCAGAACCATTCCTGTCCTTTTTCAGGACACTGTAATTACTGTATAACCAAGATGACAAACACTTAGATAGACCCAGCCAGTTACTCAGGCAGCAGGCTCACACTACATCCAGTGTCACCTTTGAGCCTCACCTTATTTTTTTAAGTTTTTTATTCTTTTTTTATTTTACCTGTGCAAGTGTGAGGTACAGTGTAGTGTTATTTATCTGGAGATGTAGGTGTATGTTCTGGACGGGGAACGAGTGGATTCTGCCTGGGCAGCTGGATCATTCAGAAAATCCCAGATGAGGATGGTGTCATCATGTGAGCTGCTGACGATCTGGAACTCATCAAACTGAAGTCGAAAGACTCTTCCAGAATGCTCCTGAAATACCAGTGGGAGACACAGCATGTTACTTTGCAAACTAACTAGCACCTGAGATGGAACAGGGAAGATGAACTTGGGCTTGATTTTAGTGTTGTATTAATTTGTCAGTAAACCCCACATGACATACTGTGCCTCACCATCACAGAGCATAAATTAAACCCTCTCTCAAGGAAAAGGGTTTGTCATATCTGACTACTTGACTTGCAGGAAGTTTTCATTACAGTTGCCCCACTACTCCTTAAATCCCAGTATTAGACACACACTGTGCAGAACAAACCAAACTCCCTCCCCACATAATTCCCTCTGGTGAGGCTGACAGGTGCACTGTCTTCCTTATTCCATGGCAAAACTCCTTCCTGAAATTACAGCATTCTCAGGTATAGCAGGATACAGGGTAAGAGATGAGAACTTTTTATTCAAGACTTGGCATTGCCATGCTGAAGAGGGAACAGCTTAACACCGGAGGACACTAAGGAGCCTGTTGTAAAGTCCAGTGACACAGCAGTAATTCCTCCTAAACAGTTCTAAAAATATGATCTAGAAAGGGCATTCTTTATAGGCAGTTTGCATTCTGCTCTGAGGCTGAGTGGAAATGGCATGACAATTTGGCAAGAGTTCAGACCATAATTAACAGGAGGCAATGGCAACATCCTGGATATTACAGAGCAAATCCACTCTGCTTTCCCTTGTGTGTTGCCTATTTTCTCCTGGTACTTGTATACTCCAAAAACAGTGGCCTCCTTGGTCATCAAGGAACAGAAACGGTGCAGTGACAGTGAGCCCTATCCCTTCCATGAAGACACATTTCTCTTTAGTGCTCACACACTGTAAGGGGCTTCTGAGGGTCAGGAAAAAAACACATCTTAAAATACTTTAATACTGAAACTACAGGTTTCTCAAACACTTAGGCAAAAGAGAATTGCAAGTTACTCAAGGGGAAGTCTTTATCTTATAGCACAAGACTACAGAAATACAGCTCAGTTTACAAAGAACAACAGCTCCTTTAAAGTTAATTTCTGAATCTTTAAATAAAAGTTATCTAAAAATAAATGGACACATAAGTCAGATTCTAAGATAAATTTTTTAGAATTTCTAACCAATGGAACCTTTTTGATCTTCTAACTATAACTTGAGTTTGTCTTATAAGCACCTTATGAGTTTCTGTCTTCCCACCTATTCTTAAGGAAGTGTTTTTCCATATTTTGTGTTACAGCAGTAAAGAAGTTCTTCCAAAAAGTTATCATTACAACAGTCAGATCCACTGATTGATTGATTACTCACAGAGACGGTGGGAGGGGAGGGAGGAAGGGAGAGGGGGAGAGAGAGAGAGGGGAAGAGAGAGAGAATGGTACTTTCAAAAGTTTTTTTCAAAGCTCTCTTTTTGATCCCAGTCATTGTGAACTAAGTAAGGCTGCCCTACCTGGACTGTTTATGTCATAAAGAAAGCTGAACTGTGAGATTATTCTGTTCATAGAAAGCTTCTGTCAAATTCATGTGGCCACTGTTCCAGCTAACGGAAGACAAAACTGGAAGGGACCTGGCATGCAGCGAACATTTGTTATCTGTGCACTTTCCTCCTACTGTTTGAAAATTGAACACAAGCAGCAGGAGACTCATGATGTTCATTGTGCAGCCAGGTTTAATTTTGGAGGACGAGGGAAGAGGAAAAAAAAACACCAAAGCATGGATAAGCGGGTATAAGGACACCCTGTTGTCATAAAAGTCCTAAAAGCACTGCAACAGCTTCCTCTGCTCCCCATCCTGCTTTTGGCCCCCTCCATTGCTATCAAACAGGGATTTATGAATATCCATGTGTTGAGATTCCTACAGTGTTTCCATCCCACCGCTTCTGATTTATACTATAATTAGCTGGGGCACTTTGGCTGTCCACTGCTGGAAAATGCAAAGGAAATCACACCAGTTAAATTAAGTCTACAGGTTACTAGGCACACATTTGTCTCAAGCTGGAGCAGAAACACTACAAATACCAAGCTTAAGTCTTAAGACTCTCAGGATATGAGCTCATGGGCACACAGTGGCTCTGTAGCTTGGAACTGGGTGACCAATGACAAAGGATTTTTCTGGATTTCAGCCATGAAACTATTTGCACTTCTATCTGGCTAACAAGAAGGTTTTCAACACAGCACCTGCAGGCATCCAAAGCTCTTATGAATTCTGATCCTGTACCTGATGGTCCAAATACATGCTTGGAAAAGGGTGGCATAGCTTAATGATCTTACTACCTGTCAGCTGAGTTCCAGTAACCTTACATTCTGCACCAAATGTGATGGAAAGTACTTCAGTGAAATCTACAACAGGAGCAATTCAGCTGGTTCACGAGTGTGCAGAAGGTCAGCCAGCACAGCTCAGCTGGTGAGAAGTAACCACACTTTTAGAGAATCAGATAGCCTTGGTACAATCCTGTTTTAGAGCACAGGCTACAGTCATGTGCCACAGCAGGAAAAGGTCTAGAATATACCAATCAAAACACTGCCCAAACACTTTTAGCCTAAGAAATAAAAACATACAGTACTTGTTTTTCAATGGGATTTTGGTTCTGGTTGAAATCTTTCTTTATGCCCAGCAACAGTGTTGTTTTTTTGGGTTGAATGTGGTGGAGGAACATTTATAGGAACCACCCCAAGGCCTTGGCTGTCCTGGCATTTTTCTCACAATTTTCCCACATTATTGTAAGACCAAGCAGAGCCGTTGTTAAACATGACTGTGAATGTTGTTAACACTCACATAATGACATTCTAACCACACCATCATTGATCTGCACTAGAAACCAGTGGACAGCATGAAAAGAGTCATTGCTGTTTAAGCATAAGGCAATTTCCCTGTCTGTTGCAGTCCTTACCTGCTTTTTCTCTGAATACCCAAAAGGCAGTTAAAAGCAATCCCAAGAATGTTTTTGTTCCTGTTCCTCAAATTTGGAACAGTATTTTTAAGAAATTTCATGCCAACAATTCAGAGAACTTACTGCTACATCATCAGGTACACACAGATCAATGTAAACCCACTGGCATATGCGGGTAAGTTAAAAAATTGATTCAATTATTAACTTCAAATCACAGAATAAAACTGTTGAGAAGTCCAGAGTGGAGTGAAAAGGCCAGAGATTCTAACTTTTAATGCTTACAATTAATAGCTTGTAAAATTAAAAGAAGTTGAACACCCAAAGAAGCCAGACCCCTAGAAATTATTTCAAGATCCTGCAGACTTGGGCTAAACTGACCTTGAGTTTCCACAGCTCAAGACAGCTCTGAACAAGCACACTTTCTTCAACACCTCTACCTAAAGCTCTTACCACAAGGGTTCGCAAGCAGAGGGTCCCTGCTGGAGCACGGGGATCCAAAGCAGCCACAAGATCCCATACTTTGATTTTCCTAGTGGTGAAAAAATAGACAAACACCATGGCTCTGTTAAAGAGAAAAGAGCAAGTACTCACAGAAAAAAAATAACTGTTAGTACAACTTAGCTAATACACCAGTTTAAGGAAAATTTCAGCAATCCTTCTGCTCTTGAGACCTGGTTCTTGCATTTCCCCTTTGTAAAGCTTATAGAGCTTAATGGGAGGTAAAAATATGCTGTCAATAAAGTAAAACACATAAAAAACAGGTGGCAATAACTAACAAACACATAGGAGGGCAGACAACTAGTCTGTAATGGCAAATGGTCCTGCAGACAACCACAGATGGGAAAGATTGCTCTTACAAGAGGCTGAGCTGGAAGAAGTTTCTGGTTGAGTCAGTCAGATATTTTTTCAAGTACAAGAACTGGACCACACACATCAAATCACATGGACTGATTTCAAAAGAAGAATGAAAGCTATGCTCTGTAGCATGGTCCTCATTTACTGGCCATGAAAAGATCCTTTTAGTATGACAGACAGTCTGATATCTATATGGAAGATGCACAAAGTGGGATGGGAGACACTGTGACAGACAGGAAGATGCAAAGCATTGACTGCACTGATAATCTCACCCATCATATGCCCCACTGACTATCCTCTTGTTATCAAAGCGTATGCATCTCACCAACTCTTCATGGCCTTCCAGTACTCGTAAACATGCCCCACACTCGATATCCCACAGCCTGGAAGAGAGGACAAAGGAGCATTAATAATTTTTTAATACCTTAGCATTGCAATGAAACATTTTCTTGTTAATGGAAACTTGGAAATAAAGATTACGAGGAAACAACAAAGAAGAAACAAATTATCACTCCTTTTCCCACAGTTAAATGGATACACACTTTTCCAGGTGTTCCTATGATGTTACAGTAACACTGTAGAGATGAATCACAAACCAGTTGCATCTAGTATCTACCACTCTAGTAGCACAGGGTATCTCCCAGTTATCTTCACAGTGAACCTCACTTTATTTTACTGAGGTCCACTGTTCATAAAAGTGTTGTGCCTTGGTTTTAAGATATTAAGAGAGGGAGACTTACCAATCCCCTTGGCAGTTTGTTTCAGTTGATATGATCACCTTCACAGGGCATGAGCCCCTTTCTGGTCCCCTATATGCCCATTTCTGATTTGGAGACTACCATCAGACAAATTAAGTTATCAGTATAATGGCAGAGGTACAAGAATTAACAAAACCTTTTTCTTTCTCATTTCTCCCCCTTAAAGTATGTTTAATCTGTAATCCAGGCACTTTATGCATAAAATGTATGCTCTGTGTTTATTATTTTGAAATGCATTTTTTTCTTGCTCTCAAATAACCCCTGTGGTTCTATGTGAACTGTTTCTAATAATACATTATTTTTAAAAAGTTCTGGCACCCAAACCAATATAAAGTAAGAGGCCCAGAAACACATTATTCTCTCAACAGTAACTGTCCCAGCGTTCTGGCTTTTGTGATGGATTTTCAGCATGGAGAATAAATGAAAATACATAATTTTTACACTTGCACACTACCTTGAAAAATAGTTAAACACTTTAAACAGTTATGAAGCAAGTCTATTTGTTTTCCATACTTTTGCCAGCTCTTTGACATAACTCCCAATTACCATGGATAAAGAAAGATTATTTGCCTACAAGAACTGAAATTCTTCGACATGTAGAGGTGTTCCATCTCTGGCTGAGACATGCTCTGCTCATACAGCAGTCTTGTAATAGCAATATCTGCTCTGACTCCTTGACACACAGCAGAAAGAAAACAGTCAAAAATGGTCTCAAATGCTCATTCAATAGGTGCTCTGACTGGCATGAGCTTCACAGTAGTGAGAAATACGGGAGATTTGTGGAATTTCTCTGGGTGACACATCTTGAAGCAGCACAGCTGCTGAGAGGTCAAGTCACTTTTGCTTGAGAGACAAAGAAAGAGATAAACCATCCCCACATATTTGATTCCTGAGGTTCCCCAGGGAATAATCCAGATTCAGTTGATGTGTGCCCAAGGCTGGTGGATAATGATTGCAGCTGTCTTGCCACAAGTTGCTCTCACTTTGGACAACAGAGGAATGAACAGAACGTTTTTGTCACTGTAGAACTGAGAAAGGGTATGTCTATGCACATGTTTGAAGCCAACAAGGAGCACAAAGCGATTCTTCAATCTGTGAAGTGGATCTTTCAGGAATCTGTGAAGGGCCCAACAGTTTTCACTTGAGTACAGCACGCAAGTCAAGGTCAGAACAAGCAACTCCATGGCAAAGGTCAGCCAAAGGCACTCTGCCTGGTCAGAGAGCATTATGTCTCTCAAGGACTGTAAATACGACGGACAATGCCAAGAGATTAACTGGTGCAGAAAGGTTTGAAGAGCAATCTTGTGCCAGGAACTATTTTGCCATGTGTTTCCATTCCTTGCCATTGATCCTGAACCTGCCAGCAGCTCTGTGAGGCTGCATGACACTAACTCAGGCCTGTATTTTCAGGTCCCAGTCTGAGGTTTTACCTGAATCTGAACAGGATTACAAGAGGCAATCATGTTCCTTGCCACATGGCAAATGGGCTCTCATGTACAAAGGGGATAATTGCTAGTAAGAGTAGGATCTCCTAGTAGATTTGGTGCCAAGGGTCCTTTTCAGATTTGGTAAGTCTCTCTAAGTTCTACTTCTTTAAATATTCAAAGGAACAAACAGTAAAATAATTAAACTTAAGGCTTGAGAACTAACTAAAAAAAAGTCACTACAACATGTGTGCAGTCAAACACACTACCACTGATCCTTCCTGTAACTTTGGGAGACCTTCCAGAAGTAGAGGGAGGTCTGCAATTATCTCAGCCTTTAATTCAGTTGAAAACAGATTGGGGAGATGTACAGAAGGCAGGTGAATTTGAATCCCCACCTCTTAGAGAGAATGCTGTTGTCTACACAGATTAGTATTTGATCCTTATGTGTGTACACACTAGAAATAAACACATGAAGACCAGCTACTCATTAAAGACTTAACCCAAGATGATCTAGTCTAACTTTATTTTCTTGCCCTAAATTCCCTGGTTCCTTTTTTTCTACACCATGTTTGTCTGTTGCAATTAAGAACTCTGGCCCTAGAAGCTAAGATACTGAAGTGATTGGATTAAATTTGATGGACTAGTTTCTGCTAGATGGAAATTGGCACAGTGATAGTGATGCCTATGTAGTTGTGTCCTCTTACAAAGGTGAAATTTCCCGCCTAAATCAAAACGTAAATAATTTTTCTATGTGGAGTCTCCCTACAGAAGTCTCAGCTACTTCACATGTCCTTAATGTTTGCAGTTGCAGAACTAGAAATCACAAAGTCATCTGGAAAGAAGTTTCCCTGCAATTGAGGAATAATGGACTTTTAAGTTCTGTATCAGCCTCTACTGAAACCCAGCACACAACATCTGGTAGCAGATTAAAACCAGACCTACAAAGCAACAAGCCATCCACAAAGATGACTTAGGAACCTTTATCTTCATCATTCGTCCACTGACTTGTGCCCTCTGCTAATGGCTGGGAGAAAACTGTCTTTTAGCACTGGGTAAATCTTTCACCTTGCTCACACTGCTGCTAAACTTGACTTCCATTAAGATTCACTGTTGACATTCATGAAATTCTAGTATAATTTATCTGTCAAGTAGGGATTTTGTCCAATGCAAGCATAAAAGTAACTGTATTCCTGTTTAGCATTATCACTATCTTGACATTTATTTTTATTAGCACTGCATATTTTAGATCCCTCCCTAACTGCTGTAGTATTTAACTATTTCTTGCTCTACTTCTGAGACCAAGTTTCATAGTACAACAACTGCAGAGGCTTATTTTTTCTATTTGAAATGCAGAAGTTCTCACTTAGTGGTGCTGCTCTTACACAATACCTGTAATACCTCTTCCCTTGATTAAGAGATGGAAGTTTTAGCTTTCCTGGTCATGCTCTCAGACAGCCCTGCACTAAAATCTGGAACAGTGACCTGGTGATGTCAACCAAAGGACCACTGTTTTCCACAGAATGCAGAGCAGGGAGAGGCAGCACGTTGCAAACCGAGTCCACAGACAAACAATAGCATGGATCACTCACTGAGGAAAAATCATTACTGACGTGAAGGGTTCCTTCTTACACTGTCCAGCTTTCAAGTTTTTATCAAAAGGCAGACAATTATTTTAAAAAATGACAAAGGGAAAAGGGAGGTTGTTGTTACTCCCATTTCCATGACAGGGCCATTTTTCTTTATCACATAAACACATATTCAAGCTTGTTCCGTACATCCTGGAATTAGTGGGACATCCCTCTGCCAGCAGCTGCAGGATGTAGGGAGGAATTCTGACTTGTGATACCAGAAAGAGTTAAATCTCAGACTGCAGCCAGGGCAGCTGGAGAAGTGCAAAAGGCAGCAAACTGAACTTCATGCTCTAAACCAGCTGTTCCAAACTTAACCAGGTGCCAAGTACCACAAGAAGAGTTTGGCGAGAACCCAGGAGGATTTCTGCAGAGGATTAAATGCCTCTTACTGCAAATCTGACCCCTTTAACTAGACACATAGTCCAATTAAAATATCACAAGAGGACATTGTAGAAAGTGGTACTTGCCAGCTCTTTCATACACCAGAACTGTCAGAGCACTGCAACTTGTTGATTAGTATGGGACTCTTGAGATGTAGAGGATGAAAGACAACACAGTAAAACAGGCTTCTAATATCTCTTTCCAGTAGTTGCCAATGTTCTATACCAGAGAAAGCATATTTCAAAGTTGACAAGGGTACAGAGCACTCCCGTTGCCTAGCCTCTGCATGTCCCAGCGCACCAGAGACAGCGTGCTCGCACAGAACCCTGCAATGGGGAGTTGGTCTCTCACCTGATGGTATTATCTGAAGAGCCGCTCACTACTAGCCTGTCTCTGTACTGCAGACATGCAATGCCTCGTTTGTGGCCATTTAAGGTGCGCACAAATTCGCAGGTACTAGTGTTCCATACCTGTGACAGGAAGCGGGGAGGGAACCACACAGAGACAAAATTATTACGAAGAGACTAACAAAAGATGGTGTCTGTATGATATATAGATGAATCCAGAATGCTCATAATGAAGATGCTATCATTAAGACTGGGAAAATCGCCCCTCTGATAACCTGTGATCATAGTCTGCAACCAATAGCAGGTTGGGTCACTGTACACAGAAGATTTTTGCCACACAGTATCAAATTAGCTTCCAGGTTTAGCATTCTTGAGCTATGATTTAATTTACACATGATATAGATTTTCCTGAGGTTTAATGCTGCAGACTGGGATCACAGCAGTAACACCGAAGTGTCTCCTATCCACTCACCTTCACTTTTGTACCCATGCTGCCCTCTAACAACTGTTTAAATGACTGAAGAGGTTATGGAAGTGGTCAAGTCGAAAAAGAACACAGAAAAAAAATGTTCTTTTTCAACTGCATCTGTATCTGGAACTTATTTGCCACAAGCTCTGTAAATGAGTTGTACCAGCTTAACAGGGACAAGTGCAAATGAGCAGGAGGAACACTGCTTCTAAAGGAAGATCCTGCCAGGGGCCATCTTCCCTGTCTGGTCAATGCCCTTTGTTAATAAATACCCCAGTGCTGTAAACAAAAAGCCTCTGAAACACCTCACCTTTATAGTCCTGTCACCTGATGCCGATACAATGTACTTGTCATCAAAGTCCACTACGTTGACGGCAGCTCGGTGCCCCACGAGCACCCTCCTCAGGGTGATGTCTGTTGGGGAGGCCATGTCCCACACGGCGATGGAGCGGTCCTTGGAACACGTCACCATCATGCCGTTGTTGAAGCGGAGGTGCAGCACGGCTTCGCAGTGGTGGATCAGTGTATTCAGCATCTCACCTGCATTCACATCCCACACTCTGCAAGGTTCACATTTCAAACCAGAAAGAAGAGAGTTAAAAACCTGCACAGTGAATTTTCTGCAGAGCAAGAGAGGGACAGGGAGGGGTAATTGACTCTCTAGCGTTATTAGAGAAGCAAACACCACAAGTTATATCCACATCTATTAAATAGTTCATTAAAAATTGTATTAGATAAACCTGTTGATTATGTGTACATTGAGACAGTCCAGCAGCCAAAACCCTGCAATGCAGTTAACACCATAAAAATAATGCACCCAGGAAAAAAAGCGTTCTTTAATTAAAGGAATTTAATGCTGAGGAAAGGTAGAAGACTGATGGCCTTAAAGACTGGTGTTTCCTGGTTGTGCCAGCCTATTACACACTTCATTTCCAGTCAATGTGGAGAAGTAAGTTCCCTGACAAGCTTCATTTTTGACCTCTCTCACAGGACTATCAGCTCAAGTGGTAATTTATACAGAACCAGGAAGACAAGACAATTCTTTTCAAACAAATACAAAATTACTTAATTGCCACAAGTTGCACCATGATTTGCATTTACCCTGCGGTGCATCTGGTACACAGCTACATTCCAGGAATGTGCTGAATACCCAAATTAAGACATAGCATTTATGTCAATTTAATGTTATTGGAACCAACTGTTTCAACTGAAAGATAATTTAAGATACAAGTTAGATGAAAGCTTCATATAGAACTTCTAGAACTTGAAATGAAGATTTTAAGCCTTAAAAATATTTATTTTGGGCTATTCTGTTGGCAGAAACTTCTTCTGCCCTCCATAAAGAGATTTCTTTTGGCACTATCACACTTATATTCCAGATACACTATATGAAGCAGAAAATGGCTGTATCATCAGGCACATCAGACCCTGAAGAAGTTAAAACTTCCTGCTGTCAGTAAGGCAAGCAGTAAGAAAGATCTGGGAAAGACTTCTAATGTCTTATTTTCTAACTTATGGAAATTAAGTGCATCAACTTATAAACTCTAAATGAGAAAGAAAACCACATTCCAATTAGAAAATGCAAAGGAGAAAAAACTAAAGACCTGAGCCATTAACATATGAACAGTTTGCAGACAGGGCTGCCAAAGTGAACAGGAGCTGGAGACCCACTGACTTCTTTGGACAAATGCATCCCTGAGATCTCAGAAGCATTAAGAGCCCATCTGTACTGTCTATTGGATGAAGCCTCTCTTCCTGAGGAGACCCAAGGATAAAAGTGATGCATCCTATGTGCCTCTGGGGTCTGCACAAACATTTATAGATACAGTGGGAGACAAAGTATTCCTGGGCAAGTAGCCAGTCTGCAATTTAGCCTGCCTGGCCTGGTATGCAAAATGACAGTGTTTGTTACAGAAATCAGCCTCTCCTTTTGTGATCTGTTTAGCCCAGTGCAGCTCCCACATCACCTCCAGGCTGGTGGCGTTGCTGAAATTCTGGATTGCTATGAATGACAGGACCCCAAAACCTAGCAGAACTGCAAGACTGCATGCATCACATATCAGGAATTTAATTTAATAGTTATTAGCTTAACAGTAGTAGTCTACACAAGCACAGAGGAGCTTGCAGCCATAGGAAAGCATACTAATAGCTCCAGAAAAAGCCACCAACGCAGCTCATTGCTGTCTAACTCCACTGCATGAGCATTGCTTGTACTCTGACAAGGAGGGAATATATAACAACATGGAGAAGTCAAACCTGCCCCTTCACATCCAAGTTCATATTGCAATTCATTAACTCATATGTGCCTCTATTTACACTACAGGTCTTACACTCTCTGGTATCCTCTAATATAACTAATGCACTTCACAAATTCACAACATGCACCACAAGTGCTACCTTGAGGTAGCCTTTTACTGGAGACTTGAAGGATAGCAAGGTTAGAAATATTGAATGAAAAGAAACATCATGCTGAAATTTAATTTAGAGTCATAGGATATCTAGTCATACATATTTTGTTAAAATTAAATGACAGTGGATGACTAAACCTTCAAACTTACTTTGAAAATTTCAACTCTTAAAAAGTTATTCTCAAAAATAATTTATAACATTCTCAGGGAGTGTCAAAACATGCAAAACCTTGATGAAATTCTAGATGGCCTTCCTAAGTCATCTTGACCTTGACTGGCCTTGGCTTAGATTCTCATTTCTCCTTGACAGCGATTTGCATGGACATCTGATAAACAAGGACAGCAGAATGCTGAACAAATTTGCTGAACTACTTCATGGAACTGCTTGAACAGCTCATGTTTAAGAAGAGATCATTTCAGCAACTTGCAAAGCTGAAATCTTAGGAGGCAAACAGAAAGGTCCAAATCATGAGCACACACCTGACTGTTGAGTCTGAAGATCCAGTAATGATCACCCGTTCATCATACTGGAGGCACAGGACAGAACCCGTGTGTCCCGTGAGAATTCGCTTGCATTCCAATGTATTCTTATCCCAGATCTAAGAAGCAAACATTCAAAACCAGACAGTTCAGTAAGGTTTTCATCTTTCAGCACATACCAGTTTGACTAGACTGATTTTCACTACAGCCCATCTTCCATAGTGCACTTAGAACATCTCTAGTGGCATCTGCAAAGTCTTCTACAAGCTCTTTGGTGCAATACATTGACATCTTTGATATTACCAGCTTTACTACGAATATTGGTTTTACCCTTCTTATTAGGGTACAGGGCCCAATAACTACATAGCCTGTAATTACTGCTGGACAGAAACTCTGCTGGTGAAGCCTGTCTGCAAACAGGGTCTCTCTAGCCAGATAAAAGAGGCATAGCTGCTGTGCAGGTGGGAGATGGGGGAAGGGGAAGGAGAAGGCTAGGTTACTAACAAGAGACTGGGTATGTGTCACTAAAATTAGGACACTATTATTTATGACATAGGCACTCCAAGTCATTAGTATGCCATGATGGAGCATTCTCACCTTAATAGTATTGTCTCTTAGGCCGCTTACTATCTTCTGATCATCATACTGTAAACAATAAACCCCTTTGCTTGTCTCACTTCGGCAGTGGATCCTCTGTAAACTGTGCCTTCCACACCGCCAGTTCGACTCTATTGTCTTGAGAAGAGACAGGAGACAAATGAGATGCAGGGAAAAAAAAGCATGGAATTATCTCCCCTTTTTTTTTTTTTGTTTGGTTGAGAAGGCAGCAGACACTTTTCTTTATGCTTTTTCCTGTAATCAGACCCATATAATGACATAATTGCTTTATAGAATACATGTAATAAAACCAATCAAACAGACAAATGCTTGGAAAACATATCATATCTAAACTGGTCTGTGTTGTTGGGAATGGTGAGGAAGATGTAACCTAAACGCCTTTTGTATCTCCAACCTTTAGTCCCCTGTGATGACCCAACAGCTAATTAACTGAAGATAGTCTCAGTTGAACTCTAAGTGCTTTTACAAACTTGTCCCAACAGTGCCTGAGCACTACTTCTACCATTAGGAAACAACCAGAACATGCAATTTTGCTCACACTAAACGCTAGGCAAACACGCTCAGCTGCTTCCTGTTTCCCTGAACCTTAGAACTGAAGACTTTTGAAATGCACTCTCTCCCTGCCTCAGTTCTTGATATCCTGTAACAGCCTATTAGGTCTCATTGCAGGAGGAGCAAAGTACTGTGGAACAGAAAAACCAAGATGTTACGGTGCTGCTGTGATACCTGATGTGCAAAGTGCAGAGACTCCACCTGCAAACAGCTCACTGAACAACCCAAGTCATCCTCTGTCTAAAGGAGTAGCAGAACCTTTTATAACTATCCCAGATCTACAAACTCCAGACAAACAAAAGACATGTCAGATTTAATAAAATATTACACTGCAGTGGAATATCCCCAGAATTTCAGCATCATGAATAAATCAGGAACATTTGAAGAAAACAAAACTGAAAAACCAACAGTGAAACACCACCACATCTGGCAGCTCTCTCTTACCTCTATGTCTTGTATAATTTTGGGGTAAAGTGCTCTGTAGAAGGAGTTGGGTGGCGCAGTTCCATCAGGAGGTTTATTTTTAAATAGATATTGCCCCCTGGAAGACAAAGAACATTTCCATTGAACACAAATCACGTTTCAGCATTTTGGAGAAAGGTCTTCCTGGCATTTTACAAATGGGTAACCACTGCTGACAGATTCATAGTCAAACTTAATTTACTAAGATGGGATGGTTCCTTGTTTGTTTTCCCTGCAACATGTCAGTGTCATATTTTAACACTGAAATACCCAAGAAAAATCTGTGTCTAGTAACTCAGGGAAGGGAAATAAATTCTCTGTTATGGACATGGGTCCATTCAGCTCAGTAAGGGGTGACAATGGTTCATGCCTGCAATACTCACACACATTATCAGAGGTCACCTTTAAAATACAGCTTGCAAAGAAAACAAAACAAGCCAAGGAACCCTCAAATCTACTACACATTCAAGGCTAGCTTTTATCTGCATTAGCAGGAACAGTGTCAATTTGGCTACATGGACATTTTACTGCTACTACTCTGTTTTGGTACGCAAACACCTCATTTGTGGTGCTTCCCTCATCTCAACACTGATTTGGAATACTCATATCCCAAGCTAGATTTTTGTTACCAAAAAATCTGTGAACAGCAATCACTGCCTGCTGTGTAAAAAACTTTAATTCCTCATCCTGAAGTTAAGAAGCCACCAAACACGGTGTGGAAGCTAGTAAAGCCCACCATGGGCGTACTAACTGCTGCTCTGCCTGGCAACATGCCTCACAAAACGGAGAGAGGCACAAATGCCTCCGAGTGTAATCCTGGCATCAGAGACACAGAGTTTACACTGGGCCAGCTCTCCACTTCTCCCTCCCTTGCTCCATTACAGCATAATTAATTGTTCAATACTTCCTTGTGCATTTCCTTCCTGTCCTTTCCATTCAGTATACCTCAAAACTCATTTCAGAGACTGTACATTAGCTGCCTTGATGCACTTGAACTAGAGATACCACAACAGTGAACCAAAATCTTTGGGTTGTAAGGCAGTACAAACTATAGGACTGAACAAACAAACTGACAAATGCTCAGGAAAAGAACTTCTGATACTTCTTTAAAATATTCTAAGTACAACTCAAGAGAAAGGTGCTTTCATGTTTGGACAGAAGAATTACCTGTTTCTTCAAATACAATGACCAGCAGACATGCATACGGGAACAAACACATGAGGATGGTACACACGGATGCAGACAAACCACTAACTAGACAGATGCCTATTAAATGTGATCCAGCCAGGAAGTGCATTCATGAAAATTAATATCACTGGCCAAGGAAGACGAAAACGTCTTTGGAGATGCACAGAATACCTCAGAGACATCCTGGAAGACTTGGAGCAGGTATAGAAAAACCTTTGTACAAGCCTATGTGCCTAAAAATCTTTTTATTCTTTCTAACTTTACTAGCTAAGATAAAACAAAGTCTAGTTGCTACCTGTAAGTTGTGTCCTGCTGCATGTAGAGTCAGTTGTTTACTGACTGTCAGCTGAAAGATTGCTTGGAATTTCCATGGCATCCCAGTAGTTGTTGTGCTGTGGCTCTGGGATAAAAGGAACTATTGTTTGAAGGTTTTGATGGCCAGCCAATTCAATCAGATGGACACAAGCGTGCCCAGATTTTGGGCTTCTGTTTTATATTTCTCTAAATCTGTGTAACCCTTACTGCTCTCCGACAATCTGCCAGTGAAGGCTGCCATGCTGCAGAATGGGGAGGGGTTCTGTTGTAAAGCACAAGCTGCAAATGCTGAAATCAGGCAGCTTGTGCAAATTGAGGAGCTGTAAACAAATAACATCAGTCATCCATCATTCTGAACTGTCCAGTTAGTCACCTCCTTGTGCCATGCACAGAACTAGCACTGATTACAAGCTATAACATTCTATATGGCAGAAATGCAATTGCACCGGGTATTTCTTGTCTTCATCTCTTATCCATAGAGCTCTATCTGTTGATCAAAGAGATAACCAGAGGGCATAACTTGCTTGTGTCTAAGCAACCTCCAGCACATAGCACAAACCTGAAGAGGTGCACTAACAGGGTGACTGTCCTTGAGATGAGAAGCAAAATTTTGCACCTGTCTTTTAGAAATGTCATGTGTCTGTATGACTAGTATTTGGAGCAAATGTTATTTCTGAAGTGTGGAGGGAGCAAACCCCAGTGATGCCTCAGCAGAAGATACTCAGCTGATTACACCATACTCCAAGAATGGAGTAGAGTAATTGGGAAGGGTCTAAACAGAGAAAACTGAAAATAGTTAGAGTACAAGACAACACATCATTATGGTTGGCTAGTGCAGCCAAAACATAGGAAACATGGTCATCTTCCAACACGGATAGGATTACTTCAGAAAGGAGAATGAGAAAGTGTCCTGTTTATCTGTGCAGGTTAAGTGTAACAAGTCAAAATGTAGCCTAGATATCAGGAAAACCTCTCGAACACTGAAGTTAGAAAGAGTTAAAAAGTGAAACTGTGGAATCCCTTTTTTAGACATTGCCTGGGAACTCTCCATCAGTAGAGGATTTTAAGAACAAGACCAAGATTTGGGATGAATTTAGAAAAACCTGTCCCTGCCTGTGGGAAACATAAAGGACTAAATGACCTCTCAAGCTCCTCTTAGGACATACCATGACCTCAACAGTAGGGAGGAAAAATGTCAGAGAATAAGGCACTCAAAGAAATGCCAAAGTTACCACTGCCACGCTTGTGTTTATTTTATGCTCTTTAGAAACACTGCACTATTAGAGGCAGATCAAAGTAGTATTTATTTTTAAAGAATGTCTCATAATCCTGATTTACTTGCCTTTACTTCCTGAGACAAACAGTATAACAAAATTAACCATAAACCAGGGGTCTTTGTTTGCAACTCTGTATCTTTTTCTTTTTAATAGCAACCAAAATGCCTGAGCTGTCACTTTTATCTTGTTTATGAAATATTCATACCCAGTTTCCCTTCTGCCAACATCCTAGGGACACCCTTGGAAAAGAAAATTATGTATTAAAGGGTGCACCCCTGAGAGAGAAAGTTCTAATGAAATGTTAGCAGAGCAGCTTCAAACTTGAGTGAGACCTACATTGCAGTAAGGCTATTCCAGATGATTATTAACTAATCTATCTGCATTTCTAAAGTCCCCTATTCTCTGTGGTACCTACCCTCAGCTTCCAGTTTGAAAATTAAACAGATATCTAATAGTGAAAATCTGCTGAGGAAAACAAACAGACCTATCAGGAAAGAACTAATTCATAGCACATGCTCCCCCACTGCCACTCCTGAAAAAGCTCTTCTGCTCTAAACTGCTGACCGGTTTAGGGTTCTCACGAGGCATACACTGATTCTTAATTTGAACTGAATGACAGCTGGGCGTAAAAATCTCAGTCCATATATCTCACTTGTCACAGTGGGGTAAGAGCATGGCCAGATGAGGAAGTTGAGGAAAAAATCCCCCACACTGCCACATAGCCAAATGATGCCCTAACTACCCAAACCCTGATTTTTGGTGTAAGCAACTGTCAGGTTTGGAACCAACATGACGTTTCAGTGCTGAATAACCCTCTCCAAATATGGCTTGAAACACATAACCCCTATTGTCCTGAATGGGGGCAAAAGAGGTGAAGATTCAGTTTCCTTACCATCCTCTCCTCTCTGACAAACCCTTCCACAGGGAATCTGTTCTGACCATTCTCTCAATGAGCTTCTTCCATAGCATCCCGTCAGATGTCACCCGGTACCACTCCTTGCACACCAGCTCAGCAGCACACAAAGATTTGGCATCCAGGTATGACAGAATGTTCTCAGCAATGTGATCCAATCCCCGAGCTGGGGGAGAACAACAACAACAGAAAAAACATTATTTGCTGGACAGACACAGAGTTTAAAACAACTCCCCCTGCTAGTACAATGATACACTCTCCTTCCATCTCCTCTTCCGCATGCAGAGCTGGACCAAATGCACAGAAGAGCATTTGAGGCTAAGTTCAGGAGTGAGCAGTCTTCTCCAACTTCCTTTGGATATAGCACAACAAGTCATTAAAAATAATAAAGAATCCAAGAAGTCATTCCAATCTATTTCGATGGGTTTTAGCACTAGGGGGATATTCTATGGATGGCATTTCCAACTCAGCAATGCAGCCCCCAAAATCTCTCTATATTAGGACCATTTCTCATCTCACTGCTACAGCTGTTCTCATGTTGAAATGGCTCAAAAGCTGTTTTTGCTAAAGCAGTAGCTTTTAAATGTAATGAAGAAAAAAATATATATTCCCAATGTGTGCCCTGAAGGGTAGTGGTACCTTTAGACAGGGGGGAGGGAAGGATATGCAGATGCACAGGGACGTCAAGAGGGAAGGAGAGGCTGTGGAGGAGAAAGTGAAGCAGGTTTGCTAGTTTCATTTATTTTAGTGGGTGAAGGAAAAATAGGCACCAAAATAATAAAATTTGCAAATATTTCCCAATGTGAATACCAGGACTGACTTTACTTCAACATGACTGGAGTGAAATGTAAAGCAACTGCCTGGTTAGCACCAAGCAGCTCAATGTAAGGTCTACATAGGGAAGGTTATGCTATGTTTCTTAACTGGATGGATGAAGTCAATAAAAATGTGTCCATACCGACTCAAATTTAATCACAATCAAGACTTCAGGAAAACAAGATGCCTTTAAAATGTGAAGTTGTGCAAATACAGCTTCTCTTGAAGGCTGTTTACTTCACAAATGAGACACACCACTAAGAGATTATCTTAGTTCACAGGTTAAATTTCATAAGCTTTGTGAAAGTTTAGACCACATCATCCCTCAGGCATAATGTTCAGTCCAGCCAAAAATGAAGCATGGCAGATTGGTATCACATGAATCTTCCCTCTTGTTCGCATTTGGAACAAAGTTAAATACTTGTTTTCTTGCTTTTAAAACAGTCTCAAAGACCAGGATCTGCTTGTGAGAGGGAAAGAAAAGGCAGTAAATACATTTTTACAGTCACAAGTCTGGACTTTTGAAAACCGAAACTAGGCACAACCAGCTGATTTTGATCAGAGTTCATGATACACAAATGGCCCAACCTTTATTTCCTTAACGAAAAAATCTCAAAAGTATCTCCCACTGCATTAAAATGAGACAATTCAGCATGCCTCCTCCTGCTGCTTTCAAATATACTAAACTTAGAATACATTTTGGGTGAGACATTCTGCTCAGCATTTTATGCTTCAATCTTTATGTAGAAAAAGCATGTGAATGATACCAGGTACAACCAGAGAGTAGAGAAAGAAGTCTGACATTTCTTATCTTTAGAGATACAAAATTAGAGGTCAACTGCAAAATAAAAGCATCATCAGCCTTTATTATGTATTTAATCTGAAGAGACATGTACAACCACTATTAAAAAAAAAAAGTGTAAATTTAGATTGACCCTTCAGCAAATTGCAGAAAGAGGGAGACAATGGTTAAGTGAATGTGAACTGGAATTTTCAGGAATTCCACAACTGGCAGGGTAGACATGGACATCCTGTTGCCCTGTTCCTGAAGCTTTGTGTGGAAATGGCAGATTTCCCAGACTGTGTTGCTTCCAACAGGCTTACAGACATTTATACACCCACCAGGACACTTAAAAATGCCTGCCTCCATAGCATCCTTACAGGTGGCTTTAAGTCAGCAGTGTCACAGAATTAATTAATTTTATCTATGGAGAACAACTGGTGGCTTTAGGAAGCAGGGCTACACTGCAACATCTGGGCATAGCAAACCTCATCCACGTGCCCTTTCTATTTCATCAGCAGTTGCACTTTAGATCTTGGCTGCAATGAGGTGCTGTAACTACTGCCACATCCTTAAGTCATCCTTTGCCATTGATACTAGACCCTGTGCAGCAAAAGAATACTAATGTTTTGGCCTCTCTTCCTCACAATTATGATAAGTGGATGGGCAGAGCTATTTTGGCCTGGTTGCAAACTCAATTTTATTATTTTGTTTCTTAGGAACAGCACAACTCACTGAGGTATGTATCTAACAAAGCACTGCTTCCTTAGAAAGGGAAAACTCTGCTCACAGAAGACTTTGCTAAATGGATGTGAAACACGATTAGCCCTTCAGCCCTCCGAACCAACAAGAATGTCTCAGTTATTTCACACATGAAATCCTTATCAAAATGACTTTCCTCATAAAAAATGTTAAACAGCTTGAAAATGCTAAGCAGAAGCCTTATTTTTCAGAAACTGAACAAACTTTGTAAGTACACAGTTAAGCTGTATTTTACAAACAACCTTAATTCTGTTCAAAGCACTGGGAAAATAATCTCAGCCAACTTTATATTGGTAAAACATGCCCAAGATCTAAAACTACCTTTAATTCTGGTCATTCTTTGGGACCACGCTAGGAGGACAGAGATAAGATGCCTCATGATTTTGAGGTAGCTTTATTGTTTTATTCACTCAAGGGGGAGAGCAGGAGAGAGAATGAAGCAGTAAAAATGAAATCAGAGTACTGAACACTTGAGAATTTCAGAAAGCTAAAAAATACTTACAGATTTTAGGGTTTTTTTTCATTATATGACTTACTTTAGAATTTTAGGCTCATCATTCTTTTCTAGGCTGTTTCTTACCTTCCTCCCTTTCCATTTCCCTCATTAGAACCTGCTTATACTCAGGACATCCTGCACAGACTGCAGAGTCTGTGCCAGTGTAATTCCTTGACATTAATTTTCTCCCTTAGAGCTATATTCACTAGGACATTTGCACCTTGCAAATATGCAAATTGATGCACATACATTATTTATGCACACATTTCCCCCAACTATTAAAATACTCACATATTAGCTGCTTGGTTCCTATTTATTCTGCATTCTGATAGAGTAAAATCAGCTGCTTCCTGGGCAACTGTGAATAGACCAGTAACAAATATGGTATGGCTAGGAAATCTGGAATGCTTCTAGAAGTATTTATAGCACCTGCCCAAAATTCTCAGAAAAAGCTCTGTTGGAAGAAATTAACCAAGTGCAGTGAGATGTGTTGATTTCATGGGGTGCTTTCATGGGGTTCCGTGGAGAAAGACCTGGAAAGATTGTGTATGCAACTACATGTATACTTCAAAAGTGAGGAAACCAATGCAGTTTCCAAATAATTCCTATTTTTCTGAAACAGAGCAGCTCCACAAGTTATAATGCTGCTCTAAGTACATGAGATTATTGCCATTGGACTACTAAAAACTAACATAAAGCAGGTACTTAGCATAACTAACATTTTTTTTTAATGCTACAACAGCCATTAGATTACTGGGCACAATAAGCTTAAAATCCAATGAGTCTACCTATTTAACTTCCTAGCAAAACTCCTGCAGTGCCTTTATGCTTTATATAATCCACAGTTAAAGATACTTTTTTCTGTCTTTTAGGGCTAGAATTTATATTTCATGTTGAGAATTCCCTTCTGAAGAACGATCAAACTGCTTGAAGTTCAGCACTTCTCCAAAGGTATTCACAGAGTAAGGTTTTGGCAAGAAACATCTTCTTCAACTGTCTGTTTAGAGACAACACCTGTACCACTCCTCATTCAGGTCCCTCACAAACTAAGGACTTATGGCATGGGAATACTAATCTACTAGCTATCTATCTATTTATCTGTCTACCAAGGTATGATCTAATGGTCTGAAAAAATATGAGCAAAAGAGCCAGGAATTTCTGCTTGGTTCTGAAACTCTATTACTGTATATATCTGATCTCCCACCACTTTAGTTTTCCCATGTATAAGACAGGGCCGATATAAAACTGCATGTTTATACACACTACTTTATGTGTGCATTCAATGAAATCTGCCCAATGCCACATCTGAGAATAACTGGGATAATATTTTCCATGGAAGGCACTAAAAAGGTGTAAAAAACAGAACACTTCCATCTTTTGCTCTTATGCCCTCCATTTTCTATTAGCAATAAACACATAATCAAAGCAATGGCTTCAGGAAGTTATTTCAGTAGGAAAGAGAGACAAATATCTAAATAAGAAAAGGGAAAACCTCAGCTGAGCAACCAGAAAGAGTAGTAGTTTTAATTTAAAAAAATTTCGTTATTCATGCATCGCTGTGGGCATTAAGAGCACAAGTACCTGCCCTGTGGCTTGGGATAACTACCCTTACAACACACAGATTAGCTAACACTTACTCCTAGACAAACCATGACGGTGTTAGATCATGCCTTGACACACAGTAGAATCACAAATTAAAATATTACAACGTTTCATACTGGTATAGAGCTTTTCATTCAAAAGCTACTATCTGTTCTGCAAACTGACTGTATAAGAGACCTCTCCAGCAGGGTAGGGTGAAACAGAATAGTTTTTTGAAAGACAGGGAGCAAGCTCCCTCTGCCTGCAGAAATACCTGGCAGTGCAGTGATGAAGTCCCGCTGTAACATGGGTTTGAGGTATGAGTTTATGTGTCCGTGCTGGTAGTGACACATCTGGGAGATGAGGTGCTCCACAAACTCCACCTGATCAGACTCGGACCACTGTTCAAAGTACTTGACGCAGAGCTCCTTCTCCTTCTCATAGCTTGCAGACAGTTTTCTTTGCTTGGGCACAATCATACTGGAAGTGCCATTGGCAAGTTTTGTCTGTAAACAGGAAGGACAGGAACAACCCAAATAACACATATGAGAAGAAACACAAGCAGTTGTACAATTTCTTATAGGAGGCAGACAATAGAAGGCAAAAAAGCACTCTGACACATGAAAGCTGTCTGAAACCACATATCGCGGCCGGTGCCGCCAGCCCGAGCACAGCCTGCAGGACAATGCACTGCCTCGTGCCAGAGCTGCACACAAAGCACTCTGGTCAGATGGGAAACCTTCAGCAGCAGTTTAACATAAACACACATAGGGAATGCATGAAATGGATGAAAAAAAATTGAATTATACCTTGAGAGCAAAGCCAGCTAAAATACACCCTGACATTTGGTAAATACTTCTTTCACAGAATAAAATATTTTCAACTTTCTGAGCACTGTTAATATCTTGTCAGAAGGAGTCAGCTCAAAGAAGAGTTTCAGGGACAAAACAGAACACTGACATTTCAATTTACTACTTGATAGTAAGATATAAATTCTGCTTTCTAAATGATTTAACTGGAAGAAAAGTGCACATTTTGCATTGCAAGGGTATCCTTTGTCCAAATAAGATTAACCGTTTGCTGGGAAATTATTTTTTCTTATGCTGGTCAAATAGTTCCTATCTTCTGCTAAAAATGTGATTTTCTCTCTTTTATTGCAACAGTTTAACACCAGACAGCATTATAATAACAGTCAATATTATTACATCATTTTTATTGTCAAAATACACACAGAGGTTCTTCATTAATTATCAAATAATTTACAGATATAAGAACACATAAAACACTGAGGTAGGGATGCCATATTTTTGTTCTATAATGATAATTCCAAGCATCAACCTTGCCAGGGAACCTTATTAAATTTAAGAGAAAAAAAAATGAGTACCTAAATATCTCTGCAAAGATATCTAATGAACTAAAAGAAATACAATGATTAATCAATTTTACAGGAAAAGGGAAAACAAGAAAAAAGCCCCTTTTCAGCAAGTGCAAAAACAGCAAGCTATTTGAAGACCACAAAATTTAGTTATCAATAGTAGATTTGGAATGCAGAAGTTTCTCATTTCTCAGGAGTAAATAACTCCTGAACTTCAATACCTCCCAATCCCAACAGTAATTCTGATTTTGGAACACCAAAATCTTGTAATTTTAAAATCTACATAACTGGTCACCATATAAATTTCATTTTCTTAGAGATAATGCACCTAAATACTCTTTTCAACATTTCTGGAAAGCTGGACCTTCCTTTGGTAGAAAAAGATAGCAAACAGCTGTAATTTTTAATAAGCAGCTTCTTCTATTTCTGGATTATAGTTTGACTTTAACTTCTTTGAGAACACAGAATAAGGTGATCACACCATCAGTGCTCCACTGTGTAGCTGTTTTCAAGTTTACCCCTGTTCCCCCCTGCAAATGTGTGGCTGTGGGTGGCTGTGTCCAGCAAGATCATTCAAGACAAGGACACAAGGACAGCAAGTTACAATTTCATTCAATCCTCACGTGGACAGCACTGACTGCTGTGACTTGCAGTGACTGCAAGCAAGTTACAGAGCCAGTACTGGGCAGCAGGAACAAAAAACTCTCTCTTGGGCCAAGACAAATCACTAAAGAGACTATAGGCATCAAGTCCTGTGTGTGAAAGACTGGACTTCTTCTAGCAAAGTCCAACAGTACTTAAGGTAAATATGATTACCAGAGGAGTGGACTGAACATCTGTGTTAAGGGATTCTGGTAATTTTTTGCCGCACTTAAACTGCCTGCAAAACAGGCATCCCAGCAAAATGCCAGATTAAGACAGTGGGGAGATGTTGCAATCTACAAACTTGATCTCTTTTAATTTCTCATTTTGTTTGCTGTGCACCTTACGAAACATCTTGTCTCTAAAAAACATCTTTTGAAAACCTACATATCTGTCTTCTAATTTGAGAGACTGTGAAGTCTGCCTGATATGCTGAGGCTGAGCAGAGTATACAGCTGATGTTCAAAGGACACAAAGCTGCAGCTCCTTTCACAGGGTGGCACCATATTCTGGCCTTTCCTTGCCTTCTGAACACCCTTCTCCCAGCAGCCTTCAACTCCCCAGTTTCTTCGAAAACATTGGTTTGTGGTATCAAACAGAAGTTGTAACATCTGCAAATAAAAGTCATGGCTTATGTGTGTACAAATAGATGGTTCAGATGGGACAAAACAATTAATTCTGTCTTAACACAGGCTCCTTGGATAGGAATAATGAGTAAATTAAAGAATCCATTGACCAGCACTTTTATCAACTCTGGAAGTGAAACTCCAGATTTATAAAGTGGTTCTGCTAAGAAAAGCATGTTGCAGTGTTTATGTCCAAATTAGTGGACATGAGAACACCATATTTTTTAGGTTCATACTTCAGCTGCATTGTTACAATGTCAGCTTGAGACCCAGTTTGCACTCTCACCTGCCCTGGTTTCCCACCAAAAGGAGTGAACATAAGCCCAAGAGGTGTGCTCAGCAGGTCCTATGGTTTGTGCAAGCAGGGGACCAAGAGAACAGGATATGCCATGAACACACCAGTTCTGCCGAACAGAGACAGGTAAACTGACAGGGTTCTCAAATCACTCCAACTATAGTTTAGAACAAAAGTTCCAGAATTTGAATTTAAAGATTCCTGAAAATCCACTGGCAGTTCAGTGAAAAAGACCTATTACAACAAAAAAAGCAGCAACAAAACAACATCATCAAGTGTCTGTATTATTGAATCATCTACAGCCTCCTCTGTCTCTTGACACAATAATCAGGCCTCACCTGAAAAAGAAAAACCTGTTCCACTTGCCATCCACACTGCTAGGGTAAATATCCATCCAAATGCACTGTATACAATCATATTTTTTATAAGCTTCACTTCCAAAAATGGCAAAGAAGAATAAGCACCAGTAGTTCATCATCTGGGAGGAAATTTGGGTATAACAGAGAAAACCACTAACTTGGAACAGATGAAGCTTCACCAACTCTTTTTCACAAAGCCCTGTAAGTGAGGGCTGAGAGGTGCCCCAGCTGGCTCTGGGCACCATGACTCATCTGCAGGAATGGCAGAGGTGTCCTCTGACAATGCTGAGCCTGAGCTCATAAGCAGTGCCAGGAAACCCAGGGGATTGAGTGCCTCAGGTTGGTACGAGCTCAGGGATCTACGTACTATGCTCCACTGCATCCCCTAATTACAAGACCATTTCTCCAAATGGCTACATTTAACACAAAGCACATTTGTATGCCCAGTGAAGTAGAAGAGGACTAATATATGAAAGGACTTTAATCTAAATAATGGCTTGCAACTGTAGGAAGGTGCAATATTTCAACACAGATAAATAAAGACTGGATAAATCTACTGCTTTGCACATAAAACAAACCATCGACAGTAAACTGCAGCTGTAAACCCATATATGACAACCAAAGTTACTTTTGGTTTTGTTCGGTGCAAGGGACCAAGGAGCCTCCTAAAGCACAGAAAAAAACCAAAACCAAGCAACTTCCCTGACTGTAGTACAGCAATAGTGTTTACCCACCAACACGAGTGGTCACAACTTTTACGTTTTTTTTAAAAAAATTACGTTGCTCTAGTCATTGCAGAGGAGTTTGTTCAGTCACCTTTCACAGGATAGATGAATTCAGCTTTTGTGTTTCTCAGTGCAAGAAGACATCTCTTCAAGTCACAGAGAAACTGTCTCCTAGAATATCAAGAATGGCTTAAATGATCCCAGCAAAATGTGGGACCTTCTGAATGTTCAAGACATCTTCATGATGAAGCTCTAAAAATACTGAGAGCTTAGACCATCACTGAAAAATTCAGCTTCTCTGTAGATAAAAGGAAAGGTCTTCTCTTTCATGTTCTAGTACCAACAGGTCATTCTGGGCTTTTTCCCTCCTTCCTGGACTCACAGAGACTACAGGCTCTGACACAGACAAATGTCCTTTACTGCTTCTCTGCAATTGCAGCATTTCTCCTCCAATTGCTTGCACTGCCCGTTGTGGTTAAGTCACTGATCTAGACAGAACCACCTTAACAGGAATTTTGGATGGGTCTTAGTGAAGGGGAGGAAAAAAGAGGACATAATGTTTAATTATAAGAAATGATTGAAATAGGCACAGACATACCCCGGGTGCCTCTGCACTGCAGCAAGCTCTAAACTTGTTATCGTTAATGGTTTAAATTTCACTGTGCTAATCATTTCAGGACACAAGCCTTTCTTGATAATCTAATGAATTATTCCAACATCCTTCAGCAAAAAAAATCCTCCATGACAGCACTAATTACAAGACGTTTTCCCAGTGCTTATGTAAAATATGACAGAGCAGCAGCTTAGGGAATTGCAGAAAACTGCTTCTAATTTCCACTGAGAAACTGACAAACACCTCTCTTTCATCTCTCCCAGCTCTCAAGTAAGATTTAACTTTCTCATTTAGTTAATTACCGAGTGAGGATCATCATTTTCCCGGATCGGAGCGGCACAGAGCCTTTATCGTGTTAACTTGTGAACTTGATCGATGGCTGCTGCTAAAACTTAATAACTTCACCCCCTGGCAAATTGTAAGATAAATATAATAGGAGAAACTCTGACAGTAAAAACCTGCCAGAAATGAGCGCTGTGTTTATGTTTCTTTGCAGGCAGCAAAAAAACAACCGACAGCTTATTACTGGGTGCGTGTTACTTATATTTAAAAGACTCCAGGCAGTTAACTTTCTGCGTACTGTTCAAACTTTACTCACAAGATAAAAGACAATGGGGGAAAAAACCCAAGCAATGGAATGACAAAGAAAGGAACCACGGAGGTGTATGTCCAGGGGCCAAGGAAGGCGGGGAAAGACAAGAACTTCACAACGAAAGCAAAGCCATGCTTGCCTCTACATCCTGAATATTCTTCAAGATTGACCACATAAAAAATGCCCACAACTGTGAATCCAAACATGAAACTATTTTCACCAGCAGCAAAAGCTCAGGAATTCTGGATCAAGTTAGAAGCATGTGGGAAAAAGCAGAAG